TTATGCAGTGAATGTAATATTATAATCTAAAATGTATGGGTTCTGTGGGAACTAATAGTTGAAGGTGCAAAATCCAGTAGTTGTTTTGAATACTTGTGCATCACGGATCCTTCAAGTAATAGAACTGATGGATTCCCCTCATTATAGTGCAAAATACATACTGTGCTGAGAAAAGTATGAGGAGACCTTGCTGTATATGTTGTGGAGGGGGCATTTTCCCTCACACTCTCTCTTACTATCAGAGCCAAGTTTGGGGGTATAGGGGATTTCTGCACTATAATTAATTTATAAATAAATAGTACTACTAAAGTGTGAAAGCAAACCATTGTTTCCACCATTGCCATGCCATGACTCACAAGTATTTGAAACATTTATCAGAACAATATATAACATTATTTCCTATATCCATTTTCCTTTTAGGCTAAGATTTAATAAAGACTCACAGAATGTCATTTCATATACCACATAGCCATGTCACACCAACAAAAGGCACTGGGAATTAACATACTCCTTCAGTATAGCACTGTGAATCCACTGCTGAGATTGAGGTAAAAGGATACTTAGAGGGAGTAAGATGAAGACAGTTTTATGATGTGTAGGAATCTTAATGGATGAACTAAGATTAGTATAGGGAAAATTATATTAAGATATCAGAGTTTAAGCTGAACTTGTATTTAGCATATGTAGCAGTTATATATGCTTTATCTATCTATCTATATATCTATATATGTATCTATCTGTCTGTCATTATCTATATATATGTTTTTTTCACTTTATATCTTAATCTGAAATAGAATTAATTCACATTTTATTCTATCATTTTCTCTTTTAGTAAGCAACCATGGCTCCAGGAGAGAGGAGTCAGAAACGGAAATCCCAGTCCTTCATGGCAAGGGTGTCCCAGATCTGGCAGAAATATGCAACCAAGGATATGCTAGTAGACCTGATCTTTAACCCAAAATACTTATGGGTTTCAGCTTTGTTATTTATATTGGCAGAGATCATTGTCAATATATATATCATCCAAAAGATCAAATGTAAGTATGGGTTCATTTCCATGTAAATGTTTGCACGGGAATCATAGTTTTGACATTATAGAGTTTGACATTATGGCCTAGTATTTAATTCAGAATTCTAAATGAAAATAACTTAGAAGATAAGAATATGTATTCTCATTTTCCTAAATATAAAGTGCACAAGTTCTTTGAAAATGTTGATATTTTTGTAGGTCTACATACTGTTGCACTAAAGGGAATAATTTGTATGATGTTGTGGTACTAATAATTAAAAATAATAGGTTTAAAATGATCATTGGATAGATCCTTATATATAACTGCATTATAATTAAAGATTTTTTATGGCAGTGAAATGATAGGTTTGATGTGCATTTTTTTTTTTTTTTTTTTTTTTATAGTTTATGGGTTTTAGTGCTCTGTCTCTTCATTCACAGATACTGAGATTGACTGGGTGGCTTATATGCAAGAGGTAGAGGGTGTCGTAAACGGAACATGGGATTATACTAAACTGCGTGGAGATACTGGACCTCTTGTGTACCCTGCAGGTTCGTTCACTGTGTTGATTAAGATAAAGATACTGTGATGGATACTTAAGATATTATTATATAGATATTGATGTTCTGATGATGGCCAAAATAATATTCTTTCAATGTAATTTTGTGGCATTGGATTAGGTTTGATGTTATTCTTTGGTAGATCTAATAGATTACAGTATATTGATTATAGAAGCATAGACATTTCAAAGTGGAGAGATGGCTAATAGTTTCCCAAATTTTTCAGGGTTTGTCTACTTTTTCTTAGGGTTGTATAAAATCACAAGCAATGGTGCAAATGTTCGTCTAGCCCAATATATATTTGCAGCATTTTATATTATCACTTTAGTTTTGGTCTTCAGAATCTTTCACAAGAGTAGAAAGGTATGTTATGTTTTATTAACAAAACATTAATTAGTTCTCAGTTTATAGCATATTTTTTCCGTAAGGATTAAGGTCCCCATACATACTCAGGGGCATTGTCCATGCAATGTGCACTGAGCTAATTTACTTGGTACTGTTATACTCTCATTGAGAAAGGACATTAGACGCATTCTCTATGAATGACCTGCATTATTGATTGCGTAGACCAATTCAACAGATATTGAGGGTGGGTAGGGACAGGGAGGATCAAATTAATAATTCTAGGATATCTTCTATCAGCAGCAGACATAAGGATAGGCATGAATGACTTAGGGAGGTGAAGATGAAGACGATATATATATATATATATATATATATATATATATATATATATATATATATATATATATATATATATATATATATATATATATATATATGTATATATATGTATATATATGTATATATATATATATATATATATATATATATATATATATATATATATATATATATATATATATATCATATACACATATACACATATACATACACGCACATACACATACGCGTACACATACGCGTACACATACGCGTACACATACGCGTACACATACACATACACGTACACATACACATACACATACACATACAGATATACATACAGATATACATATATACATATATACATATATACATATATACTTATATACATACATATATATACATACATATATATACATACATATATATACATGCATATATATACATGCATATATATACATGCATATATATACATACATATATATACATGCATATATATACATGCATATATATACATACATATATATACATACATATATATAAATACATATATATACATACATATATATATACATACATATATATAGACATAAGGATAGGCATGAATGACTTAGGGAGGTGAAGATGAAGACGATATATATATATATATATATATATATATATATATATATATATATATATATATATATATATATATATATATATATATATATATATATATATATATATATATATATATATATATATATATATATATATATATATATCATATACACATATACACATATACACATATACATACACGCACATACACATACGCGTACACATACGCGTACACATACACATACACGTACACATACACATACACATACAGATATACATACATATATACATATATACATATATACATATATACATATATACATATATACATATATACTTATATACATACATATATACTTATATACATACATATATATACATACATATATATACATACATATATATACATGCATATATATACATGCATATATATACATGCATATATATACATACATATATATACATACATATATATACATGCATATATATACATGCATATATATACATACATATATATACATACATATATATAAATACATATATATACATACATATATATACATACATATATATACATACATATATATACATACATATATACATACATATATATACATACATATATATACATACATATATATACATACATATATATACATACATATATATACATACATATATACATACATATATATACATACATATATATACATACATATATATACATACATATATATACATACATATATATACATACATATATATACATACATATATATACATACATATATATACATACATATATATACATACATATATATACATACATATATATACATACATATATACATATATATATATATATACATATATATATATATATATATATATATATATATATATATATATATATATATATATATATATAGACACACGTACACACACACACACACACACACACACACACACACACACACACACACACACACACACACACACACACACACACACACACACACACACACACACACACACACACACACACACACACACACACACACACACACACACACAACACACACACACACACACACACACACACACACATAATAGATTTAGATGTATCTACTATTTGCTTGTTCTGTTTATACAGAAGTAGACTTGAGTCTACTCAAGTTTCAAAATTGGTAATGTTTTTTTAGTAGGTACAAGATAGCAAAGGCATCACTCCTCATACACACTCAGGCTGAACATGCTCCAATTGCATGTGGATTTTCAGGAAACTACTGAATTAGCATGGTGCACACTTAAGGCCCACACACTTCTACAATTTACCATCAAATAGACACAGACTGCTGCAGTACATTTATGCGCTACACATACACATGGACCCTAAAATATTGCCCAAAGCATTATTGGTAACATGCTACATATGTATTTGTAAATGCCTTGAGAACAAGTGATTGTCCTCCACATGTTCGTACTCAAAAGATGTCAACACCAGTGTCTTGAAATATCTTTGCAGGATTGAATGTCCAAATGAGATAAGTCAGACACACAGTGTTTTGAACATGTTTCCAAACATGTTTAAATATCATATGCAAGGTCTTAACTGAGTCTGTGTGGGGCCTTTATGTTGACTGATTTTTTTATTATGTTTTGTGTTTTGTTTTGTTTTGTTACTTTTTTACTTATTTTTATGTTCTTTGACCTTAAACATGCTTATAATTTCTATTTGCTAGCTTATGTGCAATGTCTACTTTTACTTAAAACTAAATTCATGTTTTTATTTGTTTTGATATATAAAAAAAAGAAAACTAATAATGTTACTTTGAGGGATACACTAATTTATTGTGCTCATCTCCATATTGCTTAAAAATTCCAGTATTTGGTAGAAGGCAGTAATTAACAGTAACATTGTGTCATGTAAAATTTTGTGTAAAATGTCAGTATTTTAGAAATATATTAAGAATTAGAATTCTATAATAAATGAGAGCCTGAAAAAGAAAGGGATGAAATGATGAGGAGCATAAAGAAAAAAGTTTATAGAGAGAAAGGGCAAGAAAAAAGTTAGAGTGAAAAGAGAGATTGTGGGTAGGAGTGAGAGAAAGCATGGAAAACACAGAGGTAGAGAAGGATAGTGAAAGAGAATAGAGGAAAGGTAGACAGATAGGGGGAGAAAGTAGAGAGGGAAGAGGAAAGTTTGATGTGAGTGTCATGGATGAAGAGGAATGGGGAATGGATGAAGAGAGAGGATTAATGGATATGGAGAGAAAGGAAATGAATGGAGAAAAATGGAAAGAGGAGGAATTGATGGAGAGAGATAAGAAATGAATGAAGAGAGAGGGGGGATGGATAGAGCTGGAGGATGGATGGAGTGAGATAGGGTAAAGATGGGGAAAAAAAGGGAAATGATGGAAAGAGCAGGGGAATAGATGAAAGAATGTAGAGAATGGATGGACGGAGAAGGTGAATGGATAGAAAGAGAAAAGGAAAGGGAGAGGGAGAGAGAAGAAAAGGGAGAATGAGAGAGAAGGAAAGGGAGAATGAGAGAGAAGAAAAGAGAGGGGTAGAGAGAAGAAAATGGAGAGGGAGATAGAAGAAAAAGGAGAGGGAGAGAGAAGAAAATGGAGAGGGAGAGAGAAAGATAGAAAGTGAGCGAAAGAAAAAAACAAGAGAAAGAAAAAAGCAAGAGGAAAATAGAGAGACTAAGAAAGAGAGAGAGGAAGAAAGAGAGAGAGGAAGGAAGAGAGAGAGGAAGGAAGAGAGAGAGGAAGGAAGAGAGAGAGGAAGGAAGAGAGAGAGGAAGGAAGAGAGAGAGGAAGGAAGAGAGAGAGGAAGGAAGAGAGAGAGGAAGGAAGAGAGAGAGGAAGGAAGAGAGAGAGGAAGAGAGAGAGAGAGAGAGAGAGAGAGAGAGAGAGAGAGAGAGAGAGAGAGAGAGAGAGAGAGAGAGAGAGAGAGAGAGAGAGAGAGAGAGAAATAGAGAAAGATAAAAAGTGAGCAAAAGATAAAAATGAGAAAAAGTAGAGTGAGTGAGTGAGTGAGTGAGAGAGAGAGAGAGAGAGAGAGAGAGAGAGAGAGAGAGAGAGAGAGAGAGAGTGAGAGAGTGAGAGAGTGAGAGAGTGAGAGAGTGAGAGAGTGAGAGAGTGAGAGAGTGAGAGAGTGAGAGAGTGAGAGAGTGAGAGAGTGAGAGAGAGAGAGAGAGAGAATATTGAAAGTGAGATCTATTATTAAATTTGTTTTACATTTTCAGCTCCCCCCATACATTTTGATATTCCTGTGCTGCACCTCCTACCGCGTCCACTCCATCTTCGTTCTTCGGTTATTTAACGATCCAGTGGCTATGATGTTTCTCTATGCAGCAATCAATCTCTTCATTGATGGATACTGGTGTTTTGGAAGTCTGATATACAGGTATGGAATTTGAGTAAATGAAATGAAGTGTAATTGTTAAAGTTGTTTGATTAGTTAGTAAATGTCAGTTGTTGTATAATGATATGTTGTTTTTATTACTGATATTTTTTTATTACAGAATATGCAGATGTAATCAAGTACAATTAAATGACATCTAGGTCTTTTTGCTAATAATTTTAATGATAATAAAAATAAGTGTTCCATACTGTATGTGGGTGAATGGGAGTGGATGAGGTCTGCAATGGATTCCACAACTATATTGATTATACTATATTGACTGTACTGATTAATAGTGTTTGTCATCATCTGGGAATTTGGGTTACTTGAATAGTGACTTCTATATGTGTGGCTTGTAGGCCTGGCCCATATGACACTCCTGTTCAGTGTCAAGACTCCTTGCTTCCCCTTTACAGTGTTATTAGCTCTTTTTTCTGCAAAAACATTTTTTGTTTTTTTGATTTTTGCCATTTTCCAATGTCTATATTTGTTATTTGATGAGCCAAATCATGATTGTAGAAGACTGTTGTCCTTCCACAGGTTCTATACCATCTCTCTAGGTAGACTACAACTACAACTGTGCAATAACAATAACAGTTACTAACCTTATGTTCTTTATGGCATTTTAAATATTTTCATATTAAATTTTCTGTGCCCCCGGTTGCAGCTGGTAGGAATAGGATCCTGAGCATGGAACTAGTGTCCTCTCTGGAGCTGGGGCTCTTCCAGCCGAGGCTCATGGATAATACATTCCACATCATTTACCAGTGGAAATAATGCAAAAGCCCCTTTGAAACTGCCTTTAGGCCTTTAGAGTGTAATCTTCCTCCAAGAGCTTTGTGCACTAATGGCAAGTCATTCCTGTCACCCTTAGACTTATGTCAAGTTTTTTAATGATAGTAGATTCCGATCACCTGGTTATTAGCCAATTTTTTTTTTATGATATGACAGTCATGTCACCTGAATTCAACTGGTTATGTAATTAACAAGATATTGCACATAGATGTGTAAACAAAGCATCATGGCAGTATTGAACATGTGTAGATTATGGGAAGCCGTCTTGTAATATATGATATGATAATGATCTTGAGAGTAAGCATTTTCAATGCTTTTGTGTGTGTGTGTGTGTGTGTGTGTGTGTGTGTGTGTGTGTGTGTGTGTGTGTGTGTGTGTGTGTGTGTGTGTGTGTGTGTGTGTGTGTGTTTGTTTTTCCCAGTATTTGTAGTACAATTTCATTACTTCAGAGAGGAAATTTAGATATAATGTATTGTTTTCCAGCCTTGCAGTTTCCATTAAGATGAACATCTTGTTATTTGCGCCTGCACTGTTGCTTGCATATCTGCGCTGCCTCGGCTTCAAGAAAACCATACTGCAGCTGACCATTTGTGCTGCTGTCCAGGTATGTACTGGATTTTTATTATCCATTGTAGCTTAAGTAAATTTTCTTAAAAGTATTGTTAGTAGGCTATATGTATATGTTGATGTGCATAAATATGTCCATACACATAAGTATTGTGCTTTAACATTGATGTTAGCCATCATTTATATATGATAATTTCCATTTTAGCTTGATCAAATGATTCAGTATAGTTCACAGTTATATAAATACTTGATATAAAGGAAACAAGTTTAAAGCTTGAATGAAAGACAGTGTTTATATCACTTTTCTTATACATGGTTCCTCTTATACACATTTTTCCATTTCTTATTCCTGAGATATGTGTGTGTGTTAACCCATTGATGCCAGGAACATGCTGTCCACTATGTTTCTACTTTATTTATTTGTTTGTTTATTTATTTATTTATTTACATGCACATAGATGGCATAGATGGTGGAATCATCTATGTTTAAGACTAAATGAAATAAAAAAAAGTTCTTGAGGTGAATTTGTTAAACTTCTCTCATCTCTCAAATCATGAAAATACAAAATTGATTATTATTTTATGGTGTTATGGTGTTTCTAGCTCAGAGAAATACTATACTAGAGAAGAAAGATTGTGTCAGGCATGATATGTAAAAGTTCCCCTTACATTACTAATGAATAAGCAGCTTACAATTCAAAAGTGGCTAGTTTATATTTCATAACAAAGAGAAGCTTGTGTTATTATTATTCTACTAGAAGAAACTACATCCAATAACATATGGAATATTAGGCATCATGGTTGGTTTCCCAGCTTTCAAATGTAGACCTGAAGCTTTACCAAGTTCACATGGCTAATGTAATTTGGTCCCATATATATATATACAAAATATCAGTCATAGCCTAGGGACATTTAACATCTTTCTTTCTCTATGTACCCCAGATATATTCATATAGTTTTCTTTGTATGATCTACTATAAGGTAATAATGGCTACATAAAGTGGCACTTGTAGCATGCCATACCAACTTTGCACATTTGAAGAAATGAAAATGGTATTTCATCAAATGGGATACAAGATATAATTTCAATGTAGAGAATCAAATGTTGGAATTTTCCTACACTTTAATACAGTGGACAAACTTTGGGAATTTATGGCAAAGAAGGTTTTTTATGTGGGGCCATCTTTCATATTCTATTATACCCTACCATAAATTAAAGTATTAAATTGATATTGATATAAGTTCTGGGTCAGCATTGTCTAATTCACTTCATTATCATTTTCAGGTGTTGTTAGCTGTACCATTTCTAATGGCAAATTCATTTGGATATATAAAGCAGTCGTTTGACTTGGGACGTGTCTTTTTGTTTGAGTGGACAGTGAACTGGAGGTTCCTACCAGAAGAGATATTTGTTAATAGGTGGTTCCATTTAGTGCTTCTGGTTCTACATTTGGTTCTTCTCTGCACCTTTGCCTACACTCACTGGGATAGGTATGTTGTAAATGAAATAAATTCAAAGTGATAAAATAGTGTTTCATTTTGAAATTCTTACTATGTTGTAAGTGAAATAATATCATTTTGTTAAAAAATATTTTATTATGAAATTCTTTCTCTTATCTCTCTTACTCTCATGTGTGTCTGGCTTTCTGATATACCACTAATTTTCTTTACAGTCTGTCTTCTGACACTAAAAAATTCATTAATCTGTTTATTTTCTCTTCACTCAGGTACCTAGTCAATTATGCCACTCTTCAAGGAATTGGACTTGAGACAGAGATGGCTTGCCAGTTACTGGTGCTGCCCTTGTTTGTCAGCAATTTCATAGGTGTGGCTGTGAGTCGATCTCTCCACTACCAGTTCTATGTCTGGTACTTCCACTCACTCCCATACTTGCTTTGGTCAACTCAATTTAGTGTAACATTCAGGTAGGAGGACATTGTGTTTGTAGATGGTTACTGTTGTTTACACATTTTAACTGTTGAACATAGACAGATGTAATGTTTCTTTTCAACATCTTTAATTCAGATGATTTCTGAAGTAATACTGAATAATGAGTGTTGACTTAATTAAATTATTTAATTTTAATTTTTATATTTATTTATTTACTTATACAGATTCTATATTAAAGCCACTAAATATTCATAAATATTCAATCAAGAGATATTTCAAATGGTTCACTTTTTCCATTGTTTGTTTTCAGACTTTTGTTGCTAGGTGTGGTGGAGCTGTGCTGGAATACATACCCATCAACATGGTGGAGCTCAGGTCTCCTTCATGCTTGCCACCTAGCTGTTCTAACAGGATTGTTTCTTAATCGCCCGACAAACAAGCGAACAGAGAGGTTAAAGAAAGCACTAGAAAAGAAAGAATAAAATTAATACAAGATTGCTTTTATTGATTTATTAACCTTTTTCCACTAAGATGTGGATAAATATCATACTTATATTATACTTGAAATCTATAATCCACTATTATTTGTAATACATTTTGGAGACAGTTTATGTAAAAAATATCCATTTAAAAAGTGAATTCTTCCTGGTCAGTGAAAACATCTATGGATCAGTCTGCATGCAGTCTGTCCCAACTATATTAGAAATTAATAGAATACACTTACATATTCTCAGAACAATATAATGATAACACAAAATATAACTAAATTGGTTAACTTATCCTGCGATTTCCTTCACAGTTTCACCAAAAGATCAGATAAAGCAAACATGTGATTTTTCCAACCCTAGCAGTACAAATCTAAGAATGCCTTGGGGAAAGATAGTAGGTGAGATATATTATTATCCTTTGATTACACAAACTTAATCACAAGTAGCATATACTTAGTATTTTATGTAACCTGATCTATTGCCTTTTAATAGAGGGAGTGAATGTAGGAGTAGAGCCTTTCTCTTCTGAATTTGATGTGAGATAATGGACAGGTTTTCAAGTGTAGTCATCGGATGACCAGACCAACCAGGTTGCAGCCAATGTCATATCTGCATTTCTTTTGCAAAATAAGTGCAAGTGTCCAGCTGTGTCTAGTGTAGCAGTCATAAAAAATATTGCATATTATTCTTAACAGACTGTAATAACCCACAAATATTTTTGATAGAAAGATGATAATTTTCAAGAAAGTAGTGTGTCAGAAAAAGAAAGGTGAAATAGTTGTTTATACAATAAAATGTTCCTACGGTCAGTGATGTACTTTGAAATATGGTAGTCCAGGGTTATGGCTGATAATTGCATGAAAGTTTAGGATCTTATGCATACAATTTCAAAAAATGCATATATGTATATAAATTAAATATATGTGTGTGTGTGTGTGTGTGTGTGTGTGTGTGTGCGTGTGCGTGTGCGTGTGCGTGTGCGTGTGCGTGTGCGTGTGCGTGTGCGTGTGCGTGTGCGTGTGCGTGTGTGTGTCCTAAGGACAGATAAATAAATGCAAGATTGAAGTAATGATTAAGTTCCAATATGAACGTAATTGGTTCCCGTGATTCATCGAACAGAAAGGGGAAATAATTATCAAGTCATATTAGTTTCGGTAGTCGCCAAATACCACCAAAATATATACATAGGTCTCATAAAAAACGGTTACCAATCAAAGTTCCACATACTATTTTCAACAAAATTTACAGCTTTCATAATCAGTTATATTCACGAAAAACGAAGTGCAAATAATGGATATGTGTTGATAACAAATTTCATACTACGATAGCATAGCAGGGTCAAACGGAAGCTTCATAGTATCCAGAATATAAACAAAATTGTCTCATGAAAACTTAAATTCTTTTAATTCCTGGATATTCGATGGCTTAGCCATGGTATAAGTACCCTTTTAAAGAATATTTTAATATAAGACCCCCCCCCCCCTAATCCCTTGCTGTGGTTGTCGTGGGGAGGGGGGGGTTAGGAGTCCCAATATAGAGGATCACCCCTACCTCGGACCTCAGCCCTCTCTGCAACTAATTTTGCATAATCTTTTCTTCTGTCCCTTTTGTTTTCCTGCTCTTCTTCATCCCCTTCCTGATCATTAACTCATTTTTACCTCTTTTTTGCCATGATGCTTTATGTCTAGCACATTTATTTGTTTTAACAATTATCTTATTACCTAATTTGATCTTTGATTACCTAATTTGAAAGTCCATTAATTTTTTTTCCACATCGTACATTATTTACAATTTAATTCATATTTCTGGGTCTTAATTTACATTTGTAGAGAGCGTCATGTTGCCGAGCAGTATTTCTTATTGATTCCATGAGATAAACTAGACTGCATTACACATTCACATAATAGGCTGCACTATGCACCTAAGAGTTCCTGAACAGCTGTTTAAGCGTGATGCCAACAGCGCTTCCCCTTGAAAGACTTGACGCCCCACTTCGGCATCCGATTAACGATCGCCAATGCCACCTGGCGCCGCTGACCAACACCCAACTCGCCATCTTCACCCTGAAACCGGCACCGAAGCTCTACTACGGATTTCATAGGTCTCAAATATTGGAGTAGAAACCAGGACAACATGGCAAGACAATATTCACAGAAAGTGTTTATTCCTTGTGTGCAGATACGAGGCCTTCAGTTTCCGGCTGGGTCCAGAGATTTCAAGTACACTTAGAATTGAATAGCATTACAAGTTCTCCCTGTTTGACTGTTTTTTTTTCTCTCTCTCTCTCTCTGTCTCTCTCTCTCAGCATGTGCGCATGCATGCGTGTAAATAACCCTTGCTTGAGTTATAGCAGATCTGTAATATTCTAACAAGGTATAAAAAAATATTTTATACCAGCACGAGGCAGACAGCGTATGATCACAAAGAGACCCACGTCATTAAGAGTATTTTCACTTTTAAGAAAACTCAACAACTCAGCCTGAGGAGACTACACGTGTCAGGGTATGGTA